GTGAGCTTCTACACTCTAAGCCCCAGCAGCCGCTTCTCTCTGAATGTGAAGACCCTAAAAGATGGAAAGCTGTTCCCAGAACTGGTGCTAGAGCGGCAGCTGGACCGTGAAGCCCAGGCGAGACATCAGCTGGTGCTCACTGCCGTGGACGGGGGTATCCCAGCCCGCTCAGGGACCACCCTCATCTCTGTCATAGTGCTGGACGTCAATGATAACGCCCCCACCTTCCAGTCCTCAGTTCTTCGTGTGGGGCTCCCAGAGAACACACCCGTGGGTACACTGCTACTCCGCCTCAATGCCACTGATCCAGACGAGGGCACCAATGGCCAGCTAGACTATTCTTTCGGAGACCATACATCTGAGGTAGTGCGTAATCTCTTTGGCCTAGACCCTAGCAGTGGAGCAATCCACGTGTTGGGTCCCATAGACTTTGAGGAGTCAAGTTTCTATGAAATTCATGCAAGAGCCCGTGACCAAGGCCAGCCAGCCATGGACGGCCACTGTATGATTCAGGTGGATGTGGGAGATGCCAATGACAATGCCCCAGAGGTACTACTGGCCTCTTTGGTCAACCCTATCCTGGAGAGCACACCGGTGGGCACAGTAGTGGGCTTGTTTAATGTGCGGGACCGAGACTCGGGGAGAAATGGTGAGGTGAGCCTTGATATCTCCCCGGACCTGCCATTTCAGATTAAGCCTTCTGAGAACCACTACTCTCTGCTAACCAGCCAGCCTTTGGACCGGGAGACCACCTCCCACTATATCATTGAGCTTTTGGCCAGTGATGCGGGCTCACCTCCCCTACACACACATCTCACCATCAGGCTCAACATTTCGGATGTTAACGACAATGCACCATACTTTAGTCAGCAGCTCTATACTGCTTACATCCCAGAAAACCGGCCTCCAGGTTCCCTTCTCTGCATTGTGGCTGCCTCGGATCCAGATACTGGGGATAATGCTCACCTCACCTACTCCATTGTGGGGAATCAGATTCAGGGAGCTCCAGCTTCCTCCTTTGTATACGTCAACCCTGAGGACGGGCGAGTCTTTGCCCAACGCACCTTTGACTATGAATTGCTGCAAATGCTGCAGATCATGGTGGGGGTTCGAGACTCTGGCTCTCCCCCACTGCATTCTAACACCTCTCTGCATGTGTTTGTCCTGGACCAGAATGATAATGCGCCAACTGTGCTGCACCCAAGACCTGGCTGGGAACTCTCAGTCCCCCAGCGTCTCCCTCGCTCTGCTCCTCCCGGCTCCTTGGTCACCAAAGTGACAGCTGTGGATGCTGATGCAGGCCACAATGCATGGCTCTCCTATTCACTGTTGCCACAGTCTACGGCTCCAGGACTGTTCCTGGTGTCTGCACATACCGGCGAGGTGCGCACAGCCCGGGCCTTACGGGAGGATGACTCTGACACCCAGCAGGTTGTGGTCCTGGTGAGGGACAACGGTGACCCTTCACTCTCCTCTACAGCCACAGTGCTGCTGGTTCTGGAGGACGAGGATCCCGAGGAAATGCCCAAGTCCAGCGATTTCCTCTCACACCCTCCTGAGCGTTCAGACCTTACCCTTTACCTCATTGTGGCTCTTGCAGCCATCAGTCTCTTATCCTTAGTCACCTTCACCTTTCTGTCAGCTAAGTGCCTTCGGGGGCACACAGATGCGGATGGGGGTGGGAGCCAGTGCTGCAGGCGCCAGGACTCCCCCTCTCGGGACTTCTATAAGCAGTCTAGTCCCAACCTGCAGGTGAGCTCAGATGGCACGCTCAAGTACATGGAGGTGACGCTGCGGCCCTCGGACTCGCAGAGCCACTGCTACAGGACGTGCTTCTCACCAGCCTCGGATGGCAGTGACTTCACTTTTCTAAGGCCCCTCAGTGTCCAGCAGCCCTCAGCTCTGGCGCTGGAGCCTGATGCCTACCGGTCCCGCTCCAATACGCTGCGGGAGCGGAGCCAGGTGAGGGGCTCCACGCCGCCCAGGGTGACACCTGTGGGCTGTGATGGAGAAGCAGCCCATCCACAAAAGGGACTTTCTGCATCCACTCCTCTCAGGGTGGGACTGAGGGTCGTGGGGGTGGAGGGGGGCGTTGGAGCTCAGTGTTGCCTGCACTCCACCTGATTTTTGGAACCATTTGGACTGATTGCGTAAAACGCCAAAGTGGGGATAGGACTCTGAGTACCGGGAGGTGGTGGTGATTGTAGGTGAGGGGAAGTAGAACCAATCCCTGCCGGTTGGCATCCAGTAATCTTTTATGGCCAGGGTTGGGTGGGGGCGTGGTCCTGGGTGGAGTCAGTCGCAAATCTACTCCTGCACCCAGCCTGCTTGCCTCCCGAACCAGCTTGCTCTACCAGCCTTTAGGTTTCCTCTTTCCACTCCCTTGATGGGTGACTTCACTGTTAATGTCAGCCATCCCTATCCCCCCACCCCCCCACCCCGGTGTCAGACAAACACATCTGTAGACAGTAGAGGTACACCTCCAGCCTTCAAGCATATCCTCCCTGCAGAACACACCCACTGGTCACATGCACCAATGGGCCTTCCTCGGTGCGCGCGCGCGCGCACACGCGCACCCCCCCCTCCACTTGGTCGTACATGCACACCGCCTTTAACTGCCAGTGCTTGCTGTCAAGTTTACATGCACTGACTGTTCCCAGGCCCCTCACAGCTTCCCAGCCACCTGGCTCCTGGCCTCGGAGGTACTCACAGCTGACTGATCACACCCTGGTGAGGATCCCATGGTGTGGTTTCCTAGGGCCTGCCAGGACTCAGGATTCTCTTCCTGCTTCCACCTGGGGCTAGACCAGGTCACCTCTGTGCAAGAATATGAGTCTGGGAACTCTAGGGCGAGGGTGGGCTGCTCCATCCCGCTGGGGCTCCAAGCAGAGGTCACCATTGCCTCCAGCCCAGAAGCCTTGGGGGCTGGCTGAGCTACCCTGGGTCCCAAGGGTAGGATAGGCAGCCTGGGACTTCAGTGACAGTCACTCCCTGTCCTATCACAGGAAGTGGGAACGTGGAGCACCTGGACCCTGGACACTCAGAGATAGGCTTTTGGCTCCGTCGTAACCTTGATGTGTTCCTGCGATCTAGGTTCAGGGCTTTGGGGGTCGCCAAAGTATCTGAGATTCTGTCAAGTCCTTCCTTCTCGGCCTGATGGAAAGCCACAGCCTCTGCCAGATGCCAGGGGGCCCTCATACGTGGGACAACTATAGTAGTAAAAGGCACAAGTTTCCAAGTTTCCACAATCTCAGGAGCTTTTATTTAAAGTATAGTTACGTTCCTCCCTGCCCCTACCGAATCGGAATTAGAGTTTGAAACAACAACTTTATGTGATAGCTGATTGAGAGAGCCTTTCTGCGATACCTCCTCTGAGTACCGCCTCACTCGTTCGTCCCAAGATTTTTGTTGGGTAGATACTAGCTTCCTCACCTTATGACTGAATTTCACCAAGGTCACATGACTTGCTCAAGTTCACAGGGTAAGTGGTAGAGAAAGCTTTAACTCGGGTCTAACTCCAGAATTTGTACTTTGAGTCGCTTACACTTGTAAAGCTGGAGGAAGGAGGGCAGTCTTCATCTGCTGGGATGGGGCATAGATGGGATTCTTTCCTTCATAGGGCTTTATGTTAGAGAAAAGTCTTCTGGGGCTCCTTATCCCTGAGCAGCCCTGACTGAACACGCTTTGGACCCGCCGTCCTTACATAGGTTGTGAGTTTTGCCCAGTAACTCTCTTCCAGTCTGTCATGGTTCTTGCATCTCTATGTAGATTCTCCTGTGTCTAAGGCTGAGGAGTAGGCATCCCAGTGCCGTTCCCCATGGCAGTCCTGGACTAGTGCTGGTGACTCATGGTATACCTGGGATGCTAAATTTCTGGGTTCTGCTCATATCACTGCCACCTGTGAGCCTCAGAGTGAGTCATTTGGCAGCCTTGGGTCTTTCTTCTCCTCAGTGTAATCAGAGATACATTTCTCCTCTGCTTCTGGGACTGAGTGTGAGAGTTAATTACCAGCACACCTCAGAATGGTTAAGGAGATGGCTCTTGGAGTGGGGTGTGTGTGTGTGTGTGTGTGTGTGTGTGTGTGTGTGTGTGTGTGTG